GGGGGGGGGGCGCGTTCACAATACATCGAGGCAGAACTACTGGCTGATGGGCAACCTGCACCTGCATTAATACACATGCTCGCACACACATGCTCGCACACACATGCTCGCACACACATGCTCGCACACACGCACACAGTTCGTATATCCCTATCACTGTGGGCACTCTCCATTCATTTCTACGGCCATAATCATAATCCTAACTATGATGACCTTAACCCCCATCCAGCCATAACTTTAACCGTAAGTGACCAAATAAAATAGATTTTTGTTAATTTTACCTTTTAATTGAGGTTTAAAGTGTGGGAACATGAAAAATGTCTCCACAAGCTAAATAGTAACAGGTTTTACCACAGGTTTTCCGCACAATGTGTTAAATGCAAACCTGCACACACACTCTCACACACTCACACACACACACACACACACACACACACAGTAGGGGGCAGGGCACGGTCAGAACAGGCATACTCACAGCTGGCAGATTCGTTGGCCACAGCGATTATTCCCATTGGCTGCTGGGGAATGTCAGCTCGGAGCACTTTGGTGTCGCTCCCTGTGTACTTATCAGAGCGCAGCACGGCCCTCCGAACCCAATCTGACCAAAAGATGAAGTCGCCATAAATAGCCAGGCCGAAAAAGGTCCCCGGCCCTGACTTCACAATCACCTACGATTTGAATGGAGCAGAAAAGCACATAAATTACGGTTGGGGCAGCCGGCCAGAGAACGAGGTGTCACTCACTGACAAAATCACAGGTGACCCCGCCATGCCCTCACCCTGCCCCACCCCACCCCACCACAAAAGCTGCATCTTAACAGTGAGCTGCGGACTTCTTCCCATCTTTAAACAAATACAGGACTTTATCACATTACAGCATGCACAATGACACTCCACATGAGGGCTGAGACAAAGCACATAAACAGTTTCATAGAGATCATGTGACCATTTCTCTGTGTCACATGGCAAGAACCAGGGGTAACTGGGGGGCAAAAGTGACAGGGGCGGCTAGGATGCCATCTACAGGCAGCTTTCACCACAGAGCCCATGTAGAAAAGGAACATGGATGGCAGGTCAATACAACAGGAGGGTTTTCGCCAGTATGCGATGGAACGTCTGATGGGGACGTGCTAATTGCAGAGTTACGCGTCACAATGGCAAAGTTGACGCGCTGACATGCTGTAAAAATCGCAGAAGGGGTTTGTTTCTGTCTGTTACCAAATGAAAGCTTCTGGTTGTTTATATTCACGGGGTAACATTCTACAAATTGTAATTTATAAGTCAAAAATCTGTGGGCTTTTTGTAGGATGCTAGAGTCACGTTTTAAACCAGGTCGCACGTCTGATACATTACAGTCCATTTTTATGGTTTCAACTGAGTAACTCTTATTCTGCACTGACCTCCTTGCAAAACCACAAAGAGACTCATCTGTTTATCAGAGAGAGTCTGTAACAATATGAGAAAAAGAAAACAAAGAAGAAATTGCTGTTTTCCAGTAGAAAGTCTGATTTAGGGCTTCAGTTTCCATAGTGTTTCTTCAGTTACTGTCAAGCTGGTGCTGTTGCCGTTTCGCTAGGGACAACCCACTGTGCAACGAGCGGTCGGACACAAACGGAAAAACCCCAGGCTTTTAGAGGGCACAGGACGGGAAGAGCTGCAAGGCGATGACACATTCTGGTCTCAGTGCCAGGATTTGGGCATATTACCCATAATCCCATGCTGCGGGTCTGCGGGGCTGTCAGAGCGAACGTGGCACTTAGTTTATGGTTGACCTACACAGTCATGTGTCTCTGAGGGTGACGTGCGACCTGAATTACCCCAGCGGTTACAGAGAACTTTGTCAGGAGTTGAACTTGTTTACAGCTAGATTGTACAGGAGCAGAGCATTTAATTAAAGTGAGGCAGCACCTGTAAACCGTGCTGATGTACGGACAAACAGCCCCAGGCAATCTAATCTTATTGGGTGACTAGTTTCAAGGTGCTACACTAAACCAGAGCACATTTCCTCAGCAGCCCCGGAACGGGAAGCAGCACGGAGATCATTAGCATCTGAGCGGCGAGTCGCATTTTATGTTAATGATGCATTCCGGGCCTCAATGGCTGTTGCTTCCTATTCCATGATTACATGAGAGTGGCTTGCTATCAAACCGGCATAATCATCATCATCACGATGTGCCAGGCCAGCCCAAATCATCACCATGACACGCAGCCTAAGATGACCGCAGAGGGGAGAAGATGAAATTGCGTCCTGTTTACACTCCTGTCCGTCATGGTATAATGCGCCATGCAGCTGACTCAATACGTATCTGCCTCCCTCCCCACCTTTTCGCCACAGCCCCCCATTACTCAGCCATTAGCTGCGGGCCCCTCACTGCTCTGCCCAGCTTCATTTTCACATTTTAATTGGTGAAGCTGACAAGCTGGTACGTGAGGGGCATCAGCAGGCTGCGGAAGAGCACCCCCCACTGGTCAGGATGGTAATTGGGATGGACTTGGCCCTAACTCAGAGTTTCTGAATCATGGAGACATTAGCCATTGCTGGTGGGGGGTTGGGGGGGGGGTTGCATTCAGGGGTTACACACGGCTTTTTGCTGTGAGTTCAACACGTCTGCGTACATTGTTGCTTAGTGTTCTCCCTCCCAGAGGCCTGAGACTTCAGAGGGGGTAATTACAGTCGTAATTAAGCATTCCAGCGAAGGAGTTGCCACCTCTGCATAAAATATTAATGGCCATACGGCAGCACCAGACCACAGCCCTCGGCTGTGGAGCCGGCATAAAGCTATCGACTCACAGAAAACCAGAACAGGAAGCAGCTAAGACATCCTCACGAGAGGGAATTTGTCAGTGCAGAAGCGCTTTACTCATTTTAGGAACAATATCCTGCCAATCAAATTACCCCTCAGCAATTAGCAGTGCTAAAAAACATGCAATTAACCCATGGATTAATTATAGTGTTACAGTTCACCGCGGCGCATGTTGTACAATGTTCTTCGTATTCTTTATTTTGATCTGGGATCAGGGTGGAAGGAGATGGTTCTCTGGCCATCTGTTTGGAGGTCATAAGTCAGCTATTTGTTTCTTTCATTCCTGCCCGTAGGTTTGGACTTGAGCCCACGCCAGTATGCAAGGGGGGTCAAAGCGGGCCCACTCACGTGCCGCTGGGATCCATCGTACTCGCAGCGCTCTATCTTTCCCAGGCTCCCGTCAGAGAAGTACAGCTTCTCGGATCTGTGGTCAATGGTCAGCCCATTTGGCGTGACGATGTCCGAGCCCACGATAACCTGGATGCCACTCCCGGCCAGCGTGGACCGGACGATACTGGGGTGCTGCTCATTCCAGTTGGTCCAAAACATCAGGCTGAGAAGAGGAAGAGGGTCATAGCTGGTCAAATAGATTTTGGTCACATACAGTATAGGGGATCTGCGCTCCACTGAAAGAGGCTCATTCATCTTTAGAATAATGTTCATTTACACACACTCATGCAGACAGACTATGGATAAGGGGTACACAATCACCACCAATCTAAAGTGCCAGGCAAATCCTGACACCTGCTGTGTGCAGATTAAACACATTTGTATTTACATTTTACTTATTTAGCAGATGCTATTATCCAAGGTGACATACATTTTTGAGAAAGCAGGGTCAGCCAGCCTCTGAAGCAATTGGGGATTTAGGGCCTTTCTCAGGGGCCCAACTGTGAGTCTACCAATCCTGTGTTATAAACTGGAGACCATCCAATCACGGGCACAGCACCCCAAGCCACTGAGCCACACACTGCCCTCTCATTTACATACCCTGATGCTCAGGTGGAGAACCGTGCTGGAGCCTTCACTGCTCCGGAAGCTTCCACACAGCGACAAGGGAAGCTGCCAGTTACCAAGGCAACAGGGTCAGAGAAGCAGTTTCGAAATCAGGAGGCTGACAGCTCCACCCCGTTTCAGCCGGGAGCATCACAGGGTGAGGGTTGGGGTGGGCTGATGATGGACTGCAGCTTATCTGGGCCTTTTCACGATCCCATTCAGCTATGTGGTTAACAAGGAGGAGCCAGCAGAATGCGGCGGGTGGTGGTGCAAGGCCTCCATTTAAAGGAGGCACTGAGAAGGCTGGGTGAAACTCAGCCAATCAGGCGATAGAGCACAGTGGCAGTGGTGCCGCTTCAGCCACCGTCACGCGCGATAACCCTCAGCTTGTCGGGAGAGGCACACTGGGGGGCTGTACTGGGAGTCCACATGGCCAATTTAACTGTCACCATAAAGGCACAAGAAGTCAGCAAGCTTATCTGTCTGGGGGACTGGACCAGTAGAGGTCAAACCCCAGGTACTTCTGGAACCATCCTTAAAAAAGCTTTATTCCCCACCACACGAGTCTTGAACATCTGTCATTTTCACGGCTATAACTGGAACTGAATTCCACAGGCATCCCGATCCCGGTGTGTTCCAGGAGGTCAGAAGGATGCAGGTTTGGGTCCCAGGGTTCCAGGTGTGAACATGGCCTCACGTATTGAGTGTGTGTGAGAGGGCAAACCATAATATAATACAAACAAGCTGCTTTAAATATAAGTCAACGAATGGTTCCACTCCAAAGAAAAAAAGCAATTTTGGCAAAACAGTGATGCTTTTACATGCTGTTAGCCACGTGGTGCAGTGATGCATTCCACAGACTGTCAGAAATCCACCTTTTTAATTAGATTCTGTCTCACTGGCTTTCAGTAGCAATGTACTGAGCTTCAATAAAAATTCTAATATAGACAGGCGGGGTCATTTCTGGCGACTGTCCATGGTGGACAGCACTGCGCCTTCCGCACACTAATCCCCTGGGGTAATTTGATTAGAAAATAAAGAATCTGGGGTGAGGCTCACAGAAAAAGATGAGAATCCCTGATGGGGCCCGAAGATGAGTCACCATCCTGCTTTAATTAACTGTAAACATTTCAGGTCCATTCGAGAATTTGCTGAGGGGCAAATGTGGGAGGAGCCTGTGAGGATATGCAATGGATGCGGTTCAGCCTGGATCCACAGGACTTGATGTAGATGCAAATATTACTGCAGTAGTAATGTCATCGTTTCATTTCCAGGTTATCGAATGGGGGAAAATGCCACTGCATGACAAGACTGATGTTTTAATAATATCTTGCGGGTCCAGGTTCTGACTAGCCCTGTTTCTCTTTCTACTGCAGTTTGCTCGTGTCTCCGAGGGGCACCTGTGCGTCAAATGAGAGGTTGCTCATGCTGCAGCTGCTAGGGGAACATGACTCTGCAAGATCTGAGGAGATGCTGCAGTGGGGGGTTGTGGTGGCACTTACTTCTGACACACATCCAGCACCAGGACATGGGGGTGATCCTCCTCGGACATGCGGACCACCACCTCCCTGGTGAAGGCACCTGGCCGGCTCTGGTCGATGGTGTGCCGGCTAATGGTGGAGGAGGTGGAGCTGGTCCAATACAGAGTGTCCCAGGGCCGGTGGTAGGCCAGGCCTTCAACCGAGCCCACATCTGTGAGAACCAGAAAACAGAGGGTGGGCAACACCACACGGAACTGGGATAATCACATGGAAACAGAATAACCACACAAAACTGGAATGATCAAACAAAATGACCGCATGGAACTGAGATAATTACATAGAACCGGAATAACCACATGGAACTGGGATAATCGCACAGAAACAGGATAATTATAAGGACCAGTGAAGAACACACAAAACCAGGATAACCCAGACAGAAACTGAAGAGCTACACGGAACTGGGATAATCATACGGAACTGGGATAGCCACAATTGTGTAGTATTTTAATAACTATGTTAAGGAAACACTGTGATGCTGTGCACTTGCAGATATTATCTATGAATATTAGCATGGTAGCATGGAATGATTTCATGGGCCAGCATGATCTATTAGCCAATAGCAGACAGACTTATGTGAGGTGTGACTGGGCATACAGAAAAGTGGAAGGGATTAAAGCTTTTTGACTACATATGGGTTACCCACATTTTGTCATCTAACCCCTACTGTGTGGGTCAATAAAACTCATTTTAAATAATTAACATTCAATAATGTATGGAACAAAATTTCATGATAGTTCATCCTCTCAGTACCAATGTCAGAATTCAGCTGACACTCACAAACTGGCAGCTTCAACTGATTCCTGGACACAAATGCCAGGCAGGATAACTGTCCCACACAGAGGCGATTCCACACCTGCACAGCATCAGGTGATTTACGAAAGGCACCCAGGTGAGATCAGATCATCGCGTTCCTGTCCGCCATCCATCACTGCTCACGGCCGCTAATGAAGATAGATTTCAGGCCTCGAAGTGCAGGAGCTGCCCCACTTCTCCACCAGTGTGCCTCCTGGCCCAGCACCAGCCAGGCTCCCAGTCAAGCACCATACTTAAGGAGTTAAGCGTTTCTTAGCCGTTATACCCTAGAGATTAAGGAAGCCTTGCCAGCTTCTCCTAGCACAGTGCATAATGCATAAACCCTAAAACTGTGAGCTAAGGAAATCTTCAGGATCATCTACTAAGCAGCTTAATTTCAGGAAAAATACTCAACTGTCCAAATGAATGAAGTAACTATAAGCTACTTAGGACACCTTGAATAAAGTATTTACTACAATTTTAAACATGATTAAATAAAGAATATTACTCTAAGGCCCATCAGATTGTGGAGGCAAAATTAAAATGAGCTCAAATGGAAAAATATGGAACCTAGTAGCAATAGCAATGGCCTTGGGACAAATTTCCAGTGTATCAGATACCTTGGGAAATAGTCTGTATTATGGCTGATACCTAAAAAGGCCAAGCTCCTGTTGTCCTAGTCTGTAGTGTTTGTCCTTCTCCTCGTTGGCAGCATGGCTCAGTGAGCTGACCATGCAGTTATCTATCAACCCCTCTTGTTGTATGTTCAAATCCCAGCTCCTTTGTTTTTGTATTTTGTTCCCTAGTGTTTCACTTGTATGAGTTTCCTATAGTAGTTCTTGTGTCTTGTGATTTGTACATGCTTTGTGCCTGTGCTTGTGTTTTTGCCTGTCTGTAATTCCCCTAGGGTAGATTCTGTCTCCTTGTTTCTGTCAGTATCTTAGCTTTCCCCTCCCAGTCCCTGAGTTAATTAGTTCCACCTGTTGCCTGTTCTTGTGCCTGCCCTTGTGTGTTTTCCTGATTGCTCGTTGTCCTGCACCCTCCCTGATTGGTTAATTGTCTCTCACTCCTTCTTGCCATTACCCCGTTCAATTTTTGTATTTAAATTCCTGCCTGAGTTTAGTTCCTGAGTGGTTGATTGTGATTGTGAGATGTTACTGTAGATGTATGTCCTGCCCACCTGCCCCATTTTTGTAATTAGTCATTGTTTATCCCCCATTTACGTTTGACCCCTTGTGGTCCTTTGTTTTTGTTAGTGTTTCATGGTGTTTTATAGTTCATTTAATAAACCCTTCTGTTGTCCCGTGAAGCTGCCTTAGCCTAACACCAAATCTGACCGATGTCCCTGGCACTCCTCACTAGCTGCTTTTTTAGCTTTTGAAACATCTGGGGGGGTGGCTTTTTGAGTGAGGTCACCTCTTAGTAGGCCTCAGTGGACCTGATCCTGAAAATTGCTGATATCCAGTGGTGTGGTATTCTCTGAACTGAAATATGAGGTTTTGCATATGTTGCAGCAATATTTACATCATTCCAAGTCAATGGGATCAGAAAAAAATCGAAGTAAATAACATACATTTGTCTAGTTGTTTGTCCTGTTGGATTAATCTACTGACTTTGCTACATCATAATAGTGGTAGCTGTCAGGGGCATACAGTCACTTCATCGTGACTGGGGTACCTAACGAGACCCATAAACATGCTCTCAAACACAAGTGCAGGAGAAATGCAGAACTTCTATTAAACAGACAGAGAACAAAGAATTGAAATTGGAAAATCAGGTTGAATATCCCACTCTGCTCTACTCACAAGCAGTCTGTAAAATTTACCTGATCCCATTAATATTTTTCTTAATGTTATCAGGTTGTGTTGTGACAATGTCACAAAACTAAGTGGTGCAAATCGGGCACCATTGAAAAATGCTGTAAAATGTAATGTTGTGCATGCACAGATGCACGGAGTACAATACACTATACCATGGGACCACTACTGCCACGTAAAGTTGTGTCGGAGGAGATACAATAGGAAAGTGCGACACTCCATGCATCCCTTTAAAGAGTTAGCTTGCTAGAGTGTAATTGCTCTTTTTGAACACTTTTTTACAGTTGTAGTTACTGACTCTATAACTTTTGAGTGTACTTCATTTGGCAAAAAGAGACAAAACACACAATAAAGAAATTCACAAATGAATTTGATTTATAGCATTAAATTTTGCTCATACGTTCTACAGATATCACAATAATATTATTGTGAATTCTTTTGGCTATGATAATCGTGCAATGAAAATCTGATATCATAACAGCTCTAATTGTTTTTCAGCTGCCTTAATTCAAGCCTTGATCTAAATATTAAAAATTTGTTTCATCACAATTAGAAAAAAATCTTTCAAATTTTGTCCGTCAAGGGCCATGATTAGGGATCTCTGCTGCAGCTCTGTGGATACTGGATTCAGTTAATGAATTGTAATTTTACTGTGTTGTTGAAGACTGTTTTAAACCAAAAGGTTTCAACAAATAATATCATTTTGTATGTTTACTGTAAGACTGCTATTCTGCATGTTTACTGTGTTACGTCATAATCTTGGGCCTATAAATGATCAGCAAAAATACAGTACATCATTCTTCTCTGAGTAGGGATTACATGCTGTTTTGTCTTTGGGGAGTGTTGGGTACAGTATATTATCAAGTAAAACAACATTGATCCTACTGTCCTGTTACACTGCAGTTGCTTTTTGATCATAACAAATAATAGTACAAAATGATCATCTTAAAGCAGAAGACGCGTCTCTAGCATCATACAAAAATTATAAACAGGCAAGTAAGTAGTCTCAAAGAGGATTCCTTTTTCTGTCTTGGTCTCTCATTTGGACTCGGTGTTGCCTAAGTCTTGACTACAAAGGTAGTCTTGACTACAGCTCTATGTGAAACTCAAGGTACCTCTGAGCTTGGGCTCACGTGTCTCACCGCAAACGCAAGCATCAGAACCCTGACAGCTTGGCATGCTGGGATTATACTCCAGCAGTGAGGCCATTATTTACCATGGGGCTTAATTAGCCAGACATGTTTGATTGACGCACTTACATTTCTTCCATTAAATGGGTGGCCGTTTTTCCCATTTCGCTTTTCTGGGAGAGACTGTCATTTGCAGTGGGTGCCACTGGGTTTCCTTGTGGGGGGTCACTGGGTGATTGACAAATCCCTACATTCACAGATGATTAACTCATTTTTAACTAACAACAGGTTCCGTATGTTTACACGCATCGACCATTTCCATGCAGTGAATTTGTTTCCCCTGGAACATGGAATGACTCGCATGACACTCTCGATCGGGTCTCAAGCTAAATGTTTCTTTTTACTGTTGCCATGCAGAATCAGATGCAGAACAAGGAATCTTGATGATGGTGATTAACACATAGTTGGGGGGGAAAAAACAGATGGTAAGAATCTGATGCATTTAGACACTGATCTGTATGACAGACAGCATTACAGTGTCAAAGGTTAAAGATGATCTTATTACATGCAGTAAAAGTGCTGCTTTCATATATTAACAACCTTCACTGGTAGAAATAATATGATTGAATGTGGTTAACTGCTCTTCTGTCCAGTGCCTCCCACAGGCAGGTTTTGGTATGTCATTTCACAGATTTTACTGTGGCCAGCATACTGGTGAAGATGATCAGGGACTCTATCAGTTAAGTGTATTATTATGACTACTGACAGGCTAAACAAAAGCAAAAATGTTTTCTGTAACTGTAAAAAGAAAAACTGGAAAAAAAGATCTAGTTTCATGTGGAAGTACAAAGGTAGCTGATGGCCTTCTCTAGGTCTCCACAACAAAAGTAACATGAAAGTGAAAGAGATTATGAGAAATTCCACTCCTAGCACACAACAACAGCATGGAGGAATAAACTACCTGAACTCTCATTGGATGGGGGGGTGGGGGATGGGGGGCTTATCTTTTTAGTCCTGGGGGCTTTACTTGCTTATCCACCATGTCTCATCCTTATCAAAGCGGAAGAGGCTTCTGGTACTGAGCTCATCATTCGCCACAGATGTGCTGTCGGTATCATGGGAGGGGATTATGCATGGAAATATCCAATTACAACCTGAGCATGAAGTCATGTGACATGCTACTTTCAATCAAACATGATCTAACGGTATATATGGGGTCATGCACACTTATATTTGGGAATCTGTTTGGTAATTCATCCAAGCAGCTAATGTTACTTATTAACCAACCTGTACATTATTAAAGCTTGTCTCATTAATAATGTTATCATTAAAAAGTTTGTTTAAATGTTTAAAGGATGGATCTCATTAATCTGAAATTTTATTTCAAATATTAATTAAATTACATTTTTAGG